CTCCTACCTCAGCCTCTGGAGTAGCTGGGACCACAGGTGGGTACCAACATACCTGGTTAATTTGTGTATTTTTTGTAGAAATAGGGTTTCACCATGTTGTTTAGGCTGATCTCAAACTCCCAAGTAATCTACCTGCCTTGGCCTCCTAAAGTGCTAGGATTATAGACATGAGCCACTGTATCTGGCCCACTGTTTTTGTTTGTTTCAGTTTCATTTAATTCTGCTCTGATCTTTTGTTATTTCTTTTATTCCACTAACTTTGGGTTTGTTTTTGTTTCTCTAGTTCCTTGAGGTGTGATATTACGTTATCAATTTGTGATATTTCAGACTTTTTGATGTAGCAATTTGTGCTATAAACTTTCCTCTCAGCACTGCTTTGCTGTATCTCAGAGGTTTTGATAACTTATGTCACTAATATCACTCATTTCAAATAATTTTAACACTTCCATCTTGATTTCATTCTTAACCCAGAAATCACTTAGGAGCAGACTGTTGAATTTCCATGCATTTGTATAGTTTTTAGGGTTCCTTTAGGAGTTGATTTCTAGTTTTATTCCACTGTGGTCTGAGAAGATACTTTATATGATTTTGAGTTTTAAAAATTTATTGAGACTTGTTTTGTGGCCTATCATATGGTCTATTTTGCAGAATGTTCCATGTGCTGATGAGAAGAATATATATTCTGCAGTTCTTGGGTAGAATGTTCTATAAATATCTGTCAGGTTTATTTGTTCTAGGGAGTAGTTTAAGTCCAGTGTTTGCTGATTTACTGCTCCAATTATCTATCTAGTGATGTCAGTGAAGTATTGAAGTCCCCTACTATTATTGTGTTGGTATCTCCTTTCTTAGGTCTAATAATAATTGCTTCATGAATCTGGGGGCTCTAGAGTTAGGTATATATGTATTTAGTATTTCAATACCTTCTTGTTAAATTGATCATTTTATCATTGTATAATGACCTTGTCTTTTTTTTAACTGTTTTTGCTTTAAAATCTGTTTTCCCTGACATACCAATAGCTACTCCTGCTCACTTTGGGTTTCCATTTGTGTGAAATATCTTTTCCACTATTTTACCTTGAGTCTACAGGAATCCTTACGTGTTAGATGAATCTCTTGAAGACAGAAGCTATTTGGTTTGTGAATTTTTATCCATTCTGCCGATCTTTTTCTTTCAAGTGAGCATTTAGACCATTTACATTCAACATTAATATTGAGATACAAGGTAGTATTACAGTCATCATGTTGACGGTTACCTAGTACTTTGTTTTCTTCACTGTGCTATTGTTTTATAGGTCCTGTATATTTTTTGGGGGGGCGGGGTGGGGGCGGTGGGTAGAGTCTCACTCCATCACCCAGGCTGGAGTACAGTGGTGCAATCTCGGCTAACTGTAACCTCCGCCTCCTGGGTTCAAGCAATTCTCCTGCCTCAGCCTCCTGAGTAGCTGGGAGTACAGGTGCCCGCCACCATGCCAGGTTAACTTTTGTATTTTTAGTAGAGACGGGGTTTCACCATGTTGGTCAGGGTGGTCTCGAACTCCTGACCTCATTATCCACCCACCACAGCCTCTTAAAGTGCTGGGATTACAAGCGTGAGCCACTGTGTCCGGCAGTCCTGTGAGTTTTATGCTTTCAAGAGGTTCTATTCTGGTGCATATCAACTTTTTGTTTCAAGATTTAGAACTCCTTTTACCATATCTTGTAGGGCTGATCTGGTAGTGTAAAATTCCCTCAACATTTACTTGTCTGAAAAATACTTTATTTCTCCTTCATTTATGAAACTCAGTATTGCTGGATACAAAATTCTTGGCTGACACTTACTCTGTTTAAGGTGGTTAAAGATAGGACTCCAATCCCTTCTGGCATGTAAGGTTTCTGCTGAGCATCAGTGTACTTTAGTCCTTCTAAAGGATGTAGATGGTATCTCTAGCCCTTGTAGTGGGTGTTGATGGTATCTCATTGTAGTGGTAACTAATGATAAGCACCTCTTCATGTTCTTCTTGACTCTTCTTTTATCTTCTTTTGTGAAGTGCATAAATCCTTTGGCCATTATAAAAACCACTTTATTGAGGTATAATTTACATATACAATTCATCTGTTTTAAGTATACAGTTCAATAATTTTTAATAATTTATGGAGTTGTACAACCGTTACTACAATCCAGTTTTAAAACGTCTCCATAACTCCAATAAAATTCCTCATGCTGTTAACAGTTAAATCTCTATTTTTACCCTTAGCCCAAGGCAACCACCAACCTATTTTCTGTTTCCACAGATTTGCCTATTCCGGACACTTCATACAAATAGAACCATATAATATGTAGCCTATTTTGTCTAATTTCTTTCACTTAGCAGGTTTTTGAGGTTCACACATATAGCATGTATAATATTTTGTTTCTTTTTATTGCTCAATAGTATTCCATTGTAGATTAGAGCACATTTTATTTATCTACTCATTGGTTAATGGACAGTTGGGTTGTTTCCACTTTTTGGCTATTATGAATAGTGCTGCTATGAATATTTGCATGCAAGTCTTTATGAGGACTTTTATTTTCATCCTCTTGGGTAGATACCCAAGAGAAAAATTACTAGGTCATACGGTAAACTTATATTTAACCTTTTAAGAAACTGCCAAACTGTTCTCCAAACTGGCTATACCATTTTCCAATGGCACAGCAATGTACAAGGGTTACTGTTTCTCCATATCCTCCCCAAGATTAGTTAGATTAGTTACCATCTGTTTTTTTTTTTTTTGTTATAGGCATTGTAGTGGGTGTAAAGCAGTATATTACAGTATATATGTGGTTTTAATTTGCAAAACACCTAATGACTAATAATTTTTCATATTTTTTCATGTTTTTATGGGCTGTTTATATATTTTCTTTGGTAAAATGTTTATTAAAATATTTTGCCCATTTTAAAATTTGGCAACATTATTGAATTGTAAACAGTTCTTATAAATTCGGAATTTAATTCCTTTGGCAAATATATATTGCAAAGTCTGTGACTTTGTCTATTCATTTTTCAATGGTGTCTTTTGATGAAGAGAAATTTAAAGTTTCTATTACATGCAAAATATTAATTTTTTCTTCTATGGTTCATATTTTTTGTGGCCTGCTTAAGCAATCTTTGCCAATTCTGACATCATGAAGACACTCTCCTATATTTTCTTCCAAAAGTTTTGTGGTTATAGCTTTTATGCTTAGGTCTTTGATTCATCTGAAATTAACTGTTTGTATGAAGTGAGGTATAGTTGACGTTCATTTTTCCATATCAGTTGGCACCTTGGTTGAAAATAAAGTGACTACATACATGTGTTTTGATTTCTAGACTCTCTATTTTCTTCCACTGATCTATTTATCTATCCTTATGCTAATACCAAACTGTCTTTATCACTGTAGCTCTAAAATAAGTCTTCAAATCTGGTACCCTATGTCTTCCAACTTTGTCTTTTTCTTTTAAGGTTCTTTGGCTAATGAACATAATATATCTTGTCAATTATTATTATTATTATTAGTAGTAGTAGTAGTATTTTGAGACAGGGTCTCACTCTGTCACCCAGGCTGGAGTGCAGTGGCGTGATCACGGCTTACAGTAGCCTCAACCTCCTGGGCTCAAGCGATCTTCTCACCTCAAGCCTCCCGAGTAGCTGGGACTACAGGTGCGTGCTACGACACCCAGTGAGTTTTTGTATTTTTAGTAGAGACAGGTTTCACCCTGTTGCCCAGGCTAGTCTTGAACTCCTGGGCTCAAGTGATCCATCCACCTTGCCTGTGATTACAGGCATGAGCCACCATGTCACCAGCCTCTTATTAATTATTTTGTCTTCCTTAATGTCTTTCAATTATGTTTTGTAGTTTTTAGTGTTGAGAGCTTGCACACTGTTCAGAAGATTTGTTCCAAGCTATCTAACTTTTTTGATGCCACTGTAGAGAGAATTTTAAACAATTCCATTTTCCGATTGCTTCTTCCTAGAAAACTCTTAATAACCCTTATAATCATGCTGAACAATATATGTGGAAATTTTGTTTAATTTCTTTTTATAAATTGGACTTCAATACAAGGGGGACTATTGTGAGCCTCATTTTATGCTACTTATTTTTAAAAACCAATTAATATGTAGTTTCTGATTAGTAATACAAAACAAATGCAAATTTTATTCATTTGCAAAGGTAAAGACATCGCAAACAATTTTGGAGGAATAAATTCTATACTTATTTACAGAACTCTACTCTTTTTAAAACTTTGTTTATTTATGAATTTTCAGAGACAGGGTCTCTCTGTTGCCCAGGCTGGAGTGCAGTGGCATGATCACAGCTCACTGTGATCTCAAACTCTTGGGCTCAAGCAATCCTCCCATTTCAGCTCCCCATATAGCTAGGACTACAGGTATGTGCCACCACACCCAGCTCAAAACTATACTGTTAAATGTAATCTATAATATATAAGACAAATAAGTGCTATTATCTGATGATTCTTAGAGAAATAATTTTTCCTTTAAGCAGTAAAAAGTAAGTGTGTGTATGTGTGGGGCCTATATTAAAGACTTTCATTGAATTTCTACTGCTGCTGTAAATGGCTAAGGAATAGCTATAGATACTTGCATATCTACTGTAATGTATACTAAATTAAGTATACTTTAAAAACTTCAAAAGACATGATAAACCTAGCTTATGGTTGAGGATGTGCCTAATTTTTAAATATTTATTTAGAATTGTAAAAGTCTGTCTTCGGGACAGATGTCAACGAAAGGGCAAATGTATTTTATTGTTGTTGTTGTTTTTATAGAGAGTTATGTAATCCTGAAAAAGGAATGAAATCTCTCATAAAGTTAGATGTAATGATGTAATTACCACAGTCAGTTGATTATGATATCCACCCACTGCTTTTTTGCTTGTGTACATTATGGTTTGTTTAGGGTTTTGGAAAACCCATTACTGGGGCAAGAAGAGCAAGAAAGGATTAAGAGAATAAGTATGATAGAAAAAGTTTCTGAATCTCTACCTCCATCTTCACAGTCTTCAGGGGCTTTGGCTTTCTTACAAAGACGCGGATCCAACCAGGTGGTTGTCTTGGTATTGTGGCTGTGGAATAAAAATTTTAATTAGAAACAGTAAAATAGAGGAGAAAACTATTTCAAAAGTAAAGATTAAAAGTGACTAAAAGGTATATGATGGTTGAACATTAATCTCCTAGAGCACCATTTGTATTCCTCAGATTCATTCATTAACCCTATTGTTCTCAGTCTACTTCAAAATTTCCATAAAGGAATGGTAATGCTAAGGCACTAACTTGAGAATCAAGACTTTAGAGAAGGCCTAAAATGCCAAGTGTGGAATAACAGACACTATTTTAAGCAGTTAAAAATGTTTCAAAAGGTGGGTGCACAGCCACATACTGTGCATTATCTAGCCAACAATACTGCACTGAAAACCTTGTTTGCTCACTGGCTGAACTCCTTCCTCCTTCCCTTCAAAAAGTACTATATTTCTTGCATGCCTGTGATATGTAGGTATTGTGCTGGCAGTTGGAATATAAAGATAAATAAACAATCAGATAGAGCCCCAGCCATCAGGGACTCTTAAAAATAAAAGAGAATAAAATAAAGAGTTTTAAAGTGGCTGTTTTTCTGCCACATGCAAGTAAAAGCAACAGGTATAAATTCTGCTCTACAAAACTAAGTTTTCATCAGCATGATCCACACAGGGAAAAAAGGGAAGAATAAAAATATCCTGCTCCTGGCTTCATTTTATGATATAGGCCAAAGATGACTTTAGAGAGCAGTATCTGTTTAATTTCATTAAATGTCATAGTCAGTTAGTTTCAGACCAGGTCACCATGCAGCATATACTAATGCCCAAACAAAACTATCTCATTGCTCAGTGGACAAACAGTGTTAGTTTAAATATCTGAAATACAAGGATATTAAAGAAAGAAAAAGTCATGGAAGAAAACACAAAGGAAGGGAATAAAACATAAAGTTATTGTTATTATTATTATTATTTTGAGATAGAGTCTTGCTCTGTTGCACAGGCTGGAGTGCAGTGGCATAATCACAGCTCAGTGCAGCCTTGACTTCCCGGGCTCAAGTGATCCTCCTGCTTCAGCCTTCCAAGTAGCTGTGACTACAGGCGTGCGCCACGATGCCCAACAACTGAAAAAATTTTTTTTGTAGAGAGGCCTTGCTATGTTGCCATGCTGGTCTTGAACTCCTGGGCTCAAGTGATTCTCTTGCCTAAAGTTATTATTGGAATACAATGTCATACTTAACTGAAGTAATTAACTGTTATTAATTAGTAACAATGAACGTAAACAAGTTATTTTTCCTGAGTGTGTTTAATGTGAGATAAACTCACTAATCTGTACCTTGACCACTCTTAGAAAATGAAGCCAGTAAGGTTTCAGGAAATTAATCATATCTTCTATACCTTTTCTAACTGCTGAGCTACTTACAGAGCTATGCAGCCATTGCCAGGTATAAATAATATTAGCTGGTAGAATGTAATAGAAACACTTTTTTTATTTTTATTTTTTTTTATTTTTTGAGATGGAGTCTCGTTCTGTCACCCAGGCTGAAGTGCAGTGGCCCGATCTCGGCTCACTGCAAGCTCCGCCTCTCGCATTCACATCATTCTCCTGCCTCAGCCTCCCCAGTAGCTGGGACTACAGGTGCCCACCACCACGTCCAGCTAATTTTCTGTATTTTTAGTAGAGACGAGGTTTCGCTGTGTTAGGCAGGATGGTCTCGATCTCCTGACCTCATGCTCCGCCCTCCTTGGCCTCCCAAAGTGCTGGGATTACAGGCATGAGCCACTGCACCCGGCCAGAACACTTTTTAACTATGCTGAATAATAGCTAATTTCTGTAAAAAAAAGTGAGATTGTTTCTAGAAAGTCTGTATTACTCATGCTATTAGAGAAATAATCTCCCCAAACTTAAAAGTTTTTTGCTGAGAAAAAATTTAAAAAATGAAAGGGATGAGAACTCAGGGGCCTAGGAGCCACGCAGATTGTCAGGAAACAACAACAACAATAACAACACGAAAATACCTTGCTAAATCAAACTAAAAACTGCTACTTGAGAAAAGCTTAACTTAGGTTCCCATGATCCAAAATTTTATTGCTAAATTAGCAGATGTAGGCAATTTGCTAAAATTTTACCCAACATTTTCCAATGAAAAGAAATATCCATAGGGGCTATTCTATATGAACATTATTTTCCCACAGTTGCATTTTTCAACAGCAGCAGTAATACAGATCAACCATATTGGTTATACCAAACAAAACAGCTTTATCTGGCAGCAAATATTTAACTATATTCTACACATTAACCCTTTATTATGTAAGGTTTATAAATATTTTCTCCTATTCTATATATTGCTTTTTCAATCTGTTGATTGACTGCTTTGCTATGCAGAAATTTTAAAGTTTGATGTAGTCCATTTTTGTCTACTTTTGCTTTTGTTTCCTGTGCTTTTGGTGTTATATCTAAGAAGTCCTTGGCAAATCCAATGTCGTAAAGCTTTTTCCCTGTGTTTTCTTCCTTTTTATAGTTTCAGGTCTTATGTTTAGATCTTTAATCCATTTAAATATATTTAACTATAAAAAGATTTCTTTTTATAAATTCTTCTCCCCTTTACTAACTTAGCCCTGTTTGCAAGGTGAAGTACTATCAGATTAAATGTCTCATAATCTGTTTTTAAAGATATTTTAGCTACTTCTAATGATTCTACACCTTATTTTGGGGTTTAGCTCTAAAGTCAGCATGAAAGTCAAAAGTCTAAATTTCCCTTAACAAACCCCTTAAAGTTGTCAGTAAAGAATATACCACCTGGTTGTACTTGTTTTACATCATTGTGGTCATGAATGTTTATATAAATGTATAACCTCATCAATAATGTGCAATCTATAGTAAAAAGAACGCTACACATCCAAAGATCTATGTCTTTTAAAAACTAGAATCCTATTTGGTATAGCAAGACGCTCACTCTTTTGGAAGGGGATGGAATTGCGAATATCTGAGGAAACAGATTCAAGATCCCCACTACAAATTCATTTCTGAGTATATGTTCTTTGAGTGTAGTACCCAGACCCAAATATTTTAACCATTATTTAATTGTTATATTCTGTAACTTTACTACATTAATATTCTACCTTTGGGCAAATTACTTTAAGATGAGAATTACAGCTACATGAGAACATAAAAATTCTTCATGATAAAACTTCCAATAATTATTTGCATAATATTATTCTCTAGTACAAACAACATACAATTTTAGGTTGATCTAATACATGTGGTAATCAGTATCTCTATAAATACTATATTAATAGTGCTTTCTCATAAAAGTAGTGTTTTTTGTGAACTTAAGTTTGTACCAATTACTCTGAAATCAAGTGATATTTTCTTCCTACATCATTCAACTATATTGCCTGAACACATCAGACTCAAACTCTAGGACTGAAAATATTTAATTCAGATAATAATATGTTCCTACTCATGATGACAATTCTTGAAATCCTCATTAAGCTGGACAATCTACCTAAAAGTTTTTTAATAAGCAAAGCAAAATACCCTTTATTCTTTACATTTTTCACCATTCGTGATGAACTGTTTTTAATCCTCCTGCTCTTATAAAACCAGAAGTCAAATACGCTATTCCTTTATCCAAGTCAAATAAAAATGAAGTGTCAGATTAAATCAGATTAAAAATCAACTGTCAGTTTTATGAAAACTATTTTTAAAGAAAGAAAAAGAAATGAGTCTTCTGAAAAAGGTTTGTGTCCAAAATGGGGTTTTAAAAAATCTTAGGCAATCCTCAAGGTGTTAGGGCACGTTAGAAGAGATAGAGACATTTGCTTACTCAATGAAGTAGATCATCCCTGTGTCAGTGTAGGCCATTTCCCAGTTTTTGGGCAGTGGTTCCAGAGTCTCATCTCTCATCATATAATTTCTAAAGTCCATGGAGCTATTTGTTTGGTTGTAACTTGGAACAGTCTTCATCCAGTCAGATGACTCAGAATGCCTCTCTCTGTTTTCTGCCATTGTTCAAAACAGAACAGTGTGAAAAGTAGGTAAAGTTACATTTTTCTTCAAACAGCACCTTTCATTTCTAAAAAAATTCCAAATACGTAAATATTGCAAATTTCTTGTCTATTATGTCCACATTCTGCTATAAATTTTAAAATAACCAACATATTCAACTCTTTTCCCCTACTCATTGACAACTAACTCTGTATAGCACCTCTGATGCTAGTCTGGGAAAGAAGCAAAAAACAACACTAGAATTAATTCAGTATAAATCCTAATAAGCCACAGCAGCTACAGCACTAATGTAGTCCTTTTATGTGTCAGGCTCTATTTTAAGTGCTTTCTATAAATTAACTCATAATCATCACAGCAACCCTGTGAGTATCCATTATTAAACTCCCTGTTTTACAGACTCAGAAAACTAAGGCACAGAGAGGTTAACTTAGTCATAATTACACTGCCAATAAACAGCAAAGCCATGAGTTGAATCTAAGTGGTCCATGCTCTTACCTGCTATACTAAGCTGCTTTGTACACATTTAACAGTGGCCTTTAAATAATAGTAATTTTTAAAAATTACACTCAATAGAGTTCCTGTTGTTAAATATAATTCCATTTAGTAATATTAAAATCCTTTTAGAGTCCCAAGGCCCATAATGTAGGTAAGAATACTAAAATTTGGGTACCGTCTAGGGGGTTCACAATTCATATACTTAAAACTTGTTTCTAAAACTTAAACGATGCTATGTGATATCACTACGACAACTTCAAATTGCAGGCAATGGCCAGATTCAGAGAATCTAAGAGAGATCTTATATATCCTGAGATATCCTTCTCTATAGTATTTCAACTCCAACCATCCTTTATCTAACCATGCGCTACTACTTACTACCTTTCACTATTCTTTATCCTCTACCCATTTCCCCATTGCCCTGCTAACCCAACTTAAATTCCATGATGAACCATTATAATTATTCCCTTGTAAATATTCCTGATTCCTTTGCCCTAACCTTACTTCATAATACTGCCTGGCTAAATCAGAACTCTGCTTAAATCCTACTCTCCACCTACTCCATGTCAGCATATGCAGCTGAATACAGGCAATGTTGACAAGTTTACTTTAAATTCATGATCACTAACTTTAAGTGGGCATTTAATGAATCATGGTGATCATAGCATATTTCTTTAGTTGATTCACTCTGACACTCTCCAAGATAATTATTTCATACCTTCTTTCTCCTTAAACCATCCACTACTTTTCCCTTATCCCTCATCTCATTTGATGACCTTGTGTCTTATTTCACTAAGAAAATAGAAGCAAGCATAAGAAAACTTCCACAAACTCCCACCATCACATCTACACAGCAACTGTGCCCATTGACTCCACCATCTGTTACTATGGAAGAACTGCGTGTACTCCTAGCTATGGCTAACCCTCCAATTATAAATTATATCCCATCCTCTCTGCTTACAGCAATTCTTTCACTCTCCTTCCTGCATCACCAATCTTCTTTATCTATTAGATCACATCCATCCACATAAAAACATGTTCCCAGTTCAGTAAAAAGAAAATAATTCTCTGGCCGGGTGCACTGGCTCACGCCTGTAATACCAGCACTTTGGAAGGCTGAGGCGGGCAGATCACGAGGTCAGCAGATTGAGACCATCCAGGCTAACACGGTGAAACCCCCGTCTCTACTAAAAATACAAAAAAAATTAGCTGGGCATGGTGGCGGGCGCCTGTAGTCCCAGCTACTCGGGAGACTGAGGCAGGAGAATGGCGTGAACGTGGGAGGCGGAGCTTGTAGTGAGCCGAGATTGCACCACTGCACTCCAGCCTGGGCGACAGAGCGAGACTCCGTCTCCCCCCCCCAAAAAAAGAAAAGAAAATAATTGTCTTTACTCCTTGGCAGCCAACCTATTTCTCTCCTCTTTACACCAAACCACCTTGAAATAGTTTATATTTGCTACTTCCTCTTCCGCTCTTCCAGTTCTTCTGGACCTCACTCCAACAAGGCTTTTAAATTCCTATCATTAAACTATTCTTATCGAGGTCATCAATAACCTCTACATTGCTATATCCAATGATCATTCCTCAGTTCCATCCTACTTGAGTTATCAGCAGCATCTGATCACTTTCTTCCTTGCACATTCAGTAACCTCCTAACTGGTATCCCTATTTTGCCCATGTCCTCCTTTTGCCTATTTGCAATACAGTAGTCAGAATAAGCCTGTTAAAAACTGTTGTACCATGTTACTCTTTGAATCAAAATCCCATAATGGTTTCTCATTTCAGAATAAAAACTAAAATTCTTCCAATGACCTACAAGATCCTGTATGATATGCATTCCTCCCTCTTCATACCCATCATTATCTAAATGATCTTATTGGTTACTATTCTATTCTATTTCCTTCCATCACCCAGATCCAATCACTCCAATAGAATGCATTGTCCACATTGTATCCAACCACTCTGGTTTCCTTGCTATTGACTGAATATTCTAGGTATGTTTCCATCTCCGGGCATTTGTACCTCCAGTTCTGTCTGTCTAGAATGCTCTTCTCCCAGATATCCTGAGTTTACTCACTCGATTCTTTCAAGTCTTTTCTTCCACACTATCTAAAATTGCAAACCTTGACCACCATATCTTACCACCTCCTGCTCTGCTTTGTTTTTCTCTGTAGCACCATCTAACACGCTATGTATGTTATTCATTTAAGTTGGCAAGTTGTGTCTCTCCCACCAGAAAGTATAGTTCATTACAGGTTTTTGTCCGTTTTGCTCACTGCTTTATTTCTAGCATTTAGCACAATGGCATTTAGTATTCTAGTAAGTGCTCACTACATACTTGTTGAATAAATAAATGAATCAAGCACATGATTTATTTTGTATGCAGAAAAAATGACAGAAATCAAAAGGTACCTAATGTATAAATCAATCAGGAAAGGAGTTACATTCTTGGCAACTAACCATGTTGGAGAAAAGCAAAAGCAAGTATATAATCTATAATATTTTTCTTAATAAAGTTCCAAGTGATTGAATAAAGGAGTTTGCTTAATAGCCAATGACTTGTGAAGATGTTCTTTATATAAAACCATTTCTTAGAAAAAAATTATAATTATTACATAACATATATTATTGTACAAGGCCATTTTAGCATTCTTTTGGGTTATTTCTTCAGTAAGATATAAAATAATAAACATACTGGTGTGCACAAATAAACCTCTACCTAACTTCTCCTAATTTCTGCTCCCAAACAATTTTCTGATTTTTCAAGGCAGGGATTCAAAAACGATACACAGGCCAGGCACGGTGGCTCACGCCTGTAATCCCAGCACTCTGGGAGGCCAAGGCAGGCGGATCACCAGAGGCCAGGAGTTCGAGATCAGCTTGGCCAACTTGGTGAAACCCCGTCTCTACTGAAAATACAAAAATTATCTGGGCAGGGTGGCACATGCCTGTAATCCCAGCTACTTAGGAGGCTGAGACATGAGAATTGCTTGAGCCCGGGAGACAGACTGCAGTGAGCCAAGGTCGCACCACTGCACTCCTGCTTGAGCAACTGAGGGAGACTCTGTCTCAAAACAACCAACCAACCAACCAAAGAAACAAAGAACAACAAAAGCAATACACAAAGCACATTTCCCCAACTTTGATTAGTTAACTAACAACTACAGTTCATACTTATTCAGAAGGTGAATTCTGTTTGTAGGCAGGTGCTTTGTATTTTTTCACTTAAATGTCCTATATATTTTCTATTACAAAGAAATATGTAATTCAATGTAAGTGTCCTATGGTATCTATACATAAGAGGTAGTATACGAACTGCCTCCCACACACCCTTGGATATATTCCCTTTAAATATTAATATCAAAGAGTATATAACGTCAGTTTAACAAGTGACTTACATGAAGCATAAACTATAGAGATTACAAACAAGTTTACCTCTAAAAGAACTGCAGTGAGCATTTAAAGGCTCTGTATTAGGAAGTAAAAAAACAACATTTTCTTTTCCCTTAAATCAAGAACATATAAATTCCTATATTGGGAAAGATTCATGGTCTCCAATCCTGCTGTTTAGCATTTTTAAATGTTAACAGACTTAATTTTGTGGGATAGCAGAGCTGGTATCAACATTAAAAGGCTCAACGGTGTGATGACTTCCCTTCGTAGCTCCTAAAAATTAGATGTGAATTCACCTAAACCTTTTAAAACCTGTTTTTAGTATTTACATTTAAATACATTGGGGTAATCCATTTAACATTAAACACACTATGTGGCATAACTACGTAAAAAGTTAGGACTATAAAACCGAACTCACACTCTGGAGTGGGACATAATGAATGTATTAACTCATTGTTTAATACATTCATATACATATCAAATTTTAATAATTGATGAAGAAAAAGATAAGGGTGCTTTGGGAAAATGATAAGGACATGTGTTCTGCAAATTTGAGGATTTTAGTTCCTATTACATGCCAGGCATTGTTTTTGATGGAAGGGACAGAACAGTAAACAAAAAAAGCAAAACTTCAGCCCTATGAAGTTTACATTCTAGTGTTCTGAATGGAATTTTTGCAATGGGTACCACTGAATAAGCTCAGCTGTGATTTTATGGTTTCCTAGTTATACTCTCAGTTACAAGTCTAATAACCCTCTAAGCAATCACCACATTAATTAGGGCTACTCAAAATGAGCAGATTCTTCCCCACTGAATTTCTGCTGGTTTTACATTTAATGAAGGGACTCATATTTGAAAATTTGAGTGAATCTAAAATTTAAATTCAAAATATTATAAACCAACCTTTTAGATAATTTTTACCAGCATACTTTCAAACCCTATTTACTTTGTTTAGGCTGAAGTCTACATTCTAAAACATCCATATATTGTTTACATCCTATAAAGGAAGACATAGACCAACAAGATTCCCATATTGCAACATCAGAGGCAAATCTCAAGTATTTTAAACAGCAGGGTAATTGCATATATTTTATTGCTAATGATAGCTTATCATTAATTTATCCAAATTGGAAAAATTCACTTTAGCTTATAGGATGGTCTACAGAAATACACTTTGTTCCACATACAACCTTTACAAAAAAATTAAAATCCCATCACTTGCTCTTCATATGCTTTGTAGAAAATTTTAGTGGTTTTAATTCAATGTAATAGTAAAATCAATCTAGAAGATCAGTTAAAAGTTGTTCATCTATTACAAACCTGCGTTTCCACTGCCATTAATAGCTTCCTTGTCCTCATCTTCTTCCTCTTCAGGAAGAGAGCTATCCATTCTTTCCATCTTGCTGACAGATGTAGTTCGTTTTCTTTGAGATTCTGCATCAAACTCATTATCAAAGAGGACTTGATCAACTGGATCTGGCTGAAAAGGGCTGGGTTCTGCTGGAGGCTTGGGAGTTCCATAGAAGTTTCCTGAAGTGAGTAAAATAGCAGCTGAAATTACTAATGTTTAAGTGAGAGTCAGAGCAATTTGACTTAGTGTATGTCTCTGCACTGTTTTTCACAAAGGAGTTTTGAAATATCTACCAAAGGGCTGGGCACAGTGGCTCACACTTGTAATCCCAGCACTTTGGGAAGCTGAGACGGGCGAATCATTTGAGGTCAAGAGTTTGAGATCAGCTTGGCCAACGTGGCGAAATCCAACTCTACTAAAAATACAAAAATTAGCCAGGTAAGGTGGCACATGCCTGTGAATCCCAGTTACACAGGAGACTGAGGCAGGAAAATCATTTGAATCTAGGAAGCAGAGGTTCCAGTGAGCTGAGATTGTGCCAGTACACTCCAGCCTGGGTGACAGAGTAAGACTCTGCCTCAAAAAAATAAAAAGTAAATTTAAAAAAATTAAAATATCTACGATTGGCCAAAAGGAGGCCAAAGCACTCATCTTAGGAGAAGAGAGAGCAGAAATAGGGGAAAGAACTAATTTCTCAAGTGCTCTTCACCATATATTATCTAGTATTTTCATGCTATTTGTCTAAGGCCAGGAAATTGACTGTATGTATGTAGATTATTCATTCCTACAGGGATTGCCTTACATGGGTTCTGAATTAGGACACAATTTGTGAATTTAAATGCATTGGTGCTGTCATGTAAGACTAATTGGCATAAAAGGTGGGGGTAAATGAGGATAAAACTAACTGAAATAATTTTGTTCTAATGTGTAACATAATGAACTATTTTGGTAAAATGAGGAAGTAAGTGGGTAAAGGTTAAGCTATGAACTAACCAGGTCAGATAAAAATGTAGGATGTTTATATAAGGGTAATTTTTTAAAGTTTTTCTGAGCATTCTATTATTTTATCTGACAATTTATTGAACAAATAGAGACATTAGCAGGATCATTCAGTATTGGCTTACTCTAAGGAAAGCAAGAAATACTTTAATTTTCTCTTGAGAATCTGTAATTTTTGCAGTAAAAATAAATGTTCCAGAAAAGAATGAAAACAATTGAGTATCTTCTCAATTTGTCATGCAGTTCCCACTAGGCCGCCAAATAATATGGGAAAGCACTCAACAGGTCAAGCCAACATTAACAGCTTGTGGTTCCTACTACTTTTGACATTCTATTAATCATTATGCTAATGTTAGAGAAATATATATATGATGAGAGAGTAAAATACTCATGATTCTTCTAACTTCATATTTTCTAATCAAATTCTTTGGCTCCTAAGGAAGTAATTAAGATGCTCATTCACCTAACGTAAATTAATGAGGTAGATAATTGACTGTTTTTTCCTAGACGGAAAGTAGCATAGGTTCTTCCCCATAATGCTGAAACAAATCTAGATATTACATAGTTTACCTTAAATTGTGCATGTTTTGAGGGGGAAAACATTTAACATGAATTCTTTGGAAGTTTGACTTTCAGCAGGAATTGTCATTAAAATAATGAAGACAAAACAATAAAATCAAACTAAAAAACTTTTCAGCGACATCCTGTCTCTCCCTACTCACCTACTCCCTTGTTTCCAAATCCATATTTGAAATGGAGTTACTCCAATCGTACAGATGGATGCAAAGATTTGTATGAAAACAGACTAAACTTTCTGCAAACTTTCTAGCTCAGAAGTAAAGCAAAGAACCAATGAAAAAGCCAGTCACGCTTCTCTGGGGTAGCCGGCACAGAAATACATCAAACAGAGATTTGGCTGGGGATTAGGAGGTTCGAGGGTCTCTCTTTCTCCTGAATTATGCCTATTAATCACAGTATCAAGGAAACTGGATATACCATGACAGAAATAAAAAGTCCACTTTTTCTAAATAAGGTAGTAGTATTACTAGAAACACATCTTACTGAGAATTCTTGGTAATTATTATCTAACTTGAGAAAGTTTAACCTTTTTCTAAGGGGAAAATATAAAAATGCTGGATATGATGACTGCCATCCATAATCACTGAAAAGATTTTAGGACTTCATAATAATTTGGGGCAGTTTCCTTGTTAAAAAAGATAATTACAGGGCTTAGATTAAAAAAGAAAACTAGCATTGTTTATAAATAAATTAGATCTATTTTTCTTGAGTTGTTGGTAAATATCAAGTTTTCAGATACAGTATACAATTCCAAGGGTTGTGAACTCTAACTATAGTTACTGACAGAGAAAGTTTTTCATTGTTTTAGAGCTGTTTTGAAGTTTTTTTATTTTCTGAAGGCTTTTTCATTTTTACAGAACTGCCAACTATTCAATATTTCAAATATATATAAAATTACAGACTGTAGTATCAGAATAGTATTAGAAATATCTATGTATAAAATTTACTTACATAAATATGTGTACATGTATCAATTTATTTATATACACATCATCTAGATATTATTGCTAGATTGCCTTCAAATCTCTCTTTTTTTTTCTCTTTAAGGATATATATACATAGTCACATCTACAATTAAAGCTCTAACTTCCTGTCCGTATAGCCACTCCCTCCCTGAGCTGTCCTGAAGTTGGTATGTGTCTTTCCTCCTGAATATACATCTAAGATATGTATATATGCATCTATAACATGTAAACACTATTGTTTTCATAAAAGCTTCAGAGAATACTTTCCTAACATTTCACATATTTTTTCATAAATAGTATAATATAAATATTGTTTTGTAACTTTTTATACAATTTTATACCTTTATACAATTTTATACTTTTTATGCCTCTTAACACTTATTAATGTTCATACCTATAAATCTAGTGCATTGAACTGTTGTATAGCAGTCCATTTTTATGAACAAATTAAATGTATGTTATTCATTCTACTAAAGGAGAGTTGTTTCCATTCTGTCACTGTTTCACACTATAACAAATATTCCCATACATGTCTATATATGCATATGCACAACGGTTTTTCCTGAGTAGATGTCTAGAGGGGAGCATTGCTGGGTCAGAGTTATGTATATCTTCAAATTTACTAGCCACTGCCACAATGTTCTCCAAAAGGATTATACTATTTTATATTCTCACCAGCAATGTATGGGAGTTTCCATTTCTTTCAATTATCAGACTGTAAAATTGTTGCCAATCTCTGAATGTGAAATGAAATGATGCATTTTCTTTGAATTGAGCACACAGCAATAAATAATATATAATATGCCACTTCGTCCATACTAAGCTCTTATATTTAATGGAATAAAATGTAGAATATCTTCATCATTTAAGGGGAGAGGGCTTCTTTAAAAAAAAAAAACAAAAAACAAAACTTCAAAAGCACCTTAACCTTGTTCATCACAGTATTCCTAGATCCTCTTATAGAGCTTAGCACATAGTAGGTACTTAATAAATGGTTGTTTAATGAATAAAACAGGATAAAACGAATGAACAAACGAATGAGTCATGAGTGCTAAGCCCAGAAAAGGTAGTTAGGTTAAACTTAGCAGATGAAAGGAAATCATTGAAGGTTCTGCATAGGAGAGACATGATAGAGCTGCTCTTGAAGAAGACTAGCATGGTAGCAATGGGCAGGGTGGAAGAAATTGGAATAAATGAGATCAACAGCAACAGTCCACACATGAGCTCTTCTAGTAGGCCTACAACGAGGTGGTGAAGGTGAAAGAAGAGCATTGTGAATGCAGCTACAAAAGAAGAATGATGAGATTTGGCAAATGGATGTGAAATGTGAGAAAAAGGAGAAAGTAAATAATGATTTCACTGTTCTGAGATCATGGTGCTGCTAAAGAGAGAAATGATGAAGAATTACTCTTTTGGATAGAACACAAATGCATATTTGAATATGCTGAATTCCAGGTTAGATATTTACTGAACACTATCTTTAGGCACTGAAGATAATTATCAAGTATGAAAGACATGACCATTACTATCACAGAGCTTGTAAAGAGGCAATTATAATAGTATGAAAAAGCAATGATGGACCATAGCATAGGTGCTATGGAAGTGGATAAGTTTGCCAGGGAAAAGTATGCTACATAAGGGGAAAAATAGATCTAACAGAATCATTTAAAAATGGAAATTGATCTCAAATATCAAGTATCAATGGAATCAAGTGGGTAGAGGAAACAGAAATGAAAAGAAAACCAATTATTCTGTTTTTGTTGTTTTCTCCCCATATTTTATACTCTCTTTTGTCCAGGATAGTCAAGGTACATATAAGTTTTTTAAGAGTACAGATTTTGAATTCCCAACCACAAATAGAAAGCAATCAACAAATACTCATTGAGTTCACATGATGAATGTGAATTACTATGAAATATATAAACTGGCCAGTTTGACTGATTTTTAGTACATTGTTCACAATCAACTTTAAAATATGACAGACTTTTTTGGTTTATTATTTAATCCCATTTGTAATTAGTAAATTACAAATCTCTCCATTAAAAGAACATTTTCCCAAAAACAGAGCAGAAAAAACTTTTTCAAAAAGTGGTACTTTGCTGGTCAAATTCCCTCTGAAATAATTCCAGTCGTTCAGATAGTTTTTTTGGGTGGGGGGTGGTGGTGTTATTTGGGGACATACCATCATACGTTCCACTTTCTAACAATGCTCCACTCTCTTCCAGTGCTTTGAACTGTTCAACGGAAATGAAATTATAATCCACTCCTGGTACTTCCCCATCCCTGGGGGCCCTTGTAGTGCCTAAGAAAAAAGAAAAAAAAAAAGTAGGTTGTAAACTACTTTCAAACTTCCAAAATATTCAAAGTAATAGAATATTTCATCTATAGAGAACACTTTAGAGATACGTCATTCCCCTGCCCCAACTTTATTAAGGTAAAATTCACAGATAAAATTGTATACATTTATAGCATACAACATGTTTTGATATATGTGCACCCCTGGAGAAAGATAGACTTATTTTAAAGTAGTTATCCTACGTATTTTTTTCATCTCTAGCATAAATGTAAACATTCTACTTACTAGAGTGATGAAAGACAAAAAAATAATAATTTTTATAAGTTATTTTAATGAACTTTATTTTTAAAACTTGGACAAACACTGGTTATAAAGTTACTTTATAAGTGAATAAAATAAGATAGGTATTCACTTAATAAAAATTAAGATAGGTATTCACATATGGCTTCTTAGCTTTTATTTTCTTCAAGTAATTTAAAAAAATTAAGTAAGTAAATTGTTTCATAAAATTAACTGCAGTAACAGATCACTAAATGCTAAAGTACAAACTTTCTTTCAGCTTCAAGGTACAAATTCAGGTTATGGCAGCATTGCTACATTTTACTAAACAAGAGTCACTTTTATGAAATGTCATTTCAAACACTACGTAATACAAAGAGATCCAGGATTCTCACTGGGAATAGAGTCTGGGATTTGGCTGCAAGTCTAGGACAAGGACACTTTCCTTCTTAAACCTGTTTCTCCACTTAGGCCCCTATTCAGTAATAGCACTCCAGGTAGGAAATCTGAGAGTCAGTCGTCTTGGGCTCCTCCCTCTACTCCACATCCAGTCACCAAATCTACCTCATAAGTATCTCTAAATACTTCTTTTCATTCCCATAATCACTGAATTCATATCATTATCTAGGACCTGTATTGTTGGTACTCCCAGGTCAACCTTTACCTCTTCCCAGCTACACTCCTAGTACCCCGCCAAACTGCAGTCAGTGACTTTCTAAAACACAGTCTGAGGAAACAAAGAAAATCTCTCTAAACCCATCAATGGCTTCCCATGATCCTTGGTATAAAATCCAGATTCTATAACAACACATTTTACAAAGCCTTCCTCTTAAAAAAAAAAAAAAAAGTAAATTCAATGATTAAAATTATAATTTGTAATTATCTATGACAGATGGAAAAAATATGATGACAATATTTTGCACCTCTTAAGAGGTGGGGCCTGTTGCCTCATCCCTTGAATTTGGACTGGATTGATGATATGCTGTGATTAATTTAATGTGAAGGCTGTGATGCTGTCCAAGTTTAGGGATCTAGACTTCCATCTTCACCCTCTTGGAACGCTCCTGCTACCATGCAAGGAAGTCCAGGCTAGACTACCGAATGATAAGAGAGCCCAAGCCAACAAAAAGCAGCAAGGCCCCAGACACATGAATTAGACCATCTTAACCCCTCCAGCTCCAGTTGAGCTGTCAATGACTACAGCCACATGAATGGTCCCAACTGAGCCCAACTCATGAAATCATGAGAAATACACACCACTATTTTAAGTCACTAAGTTTTGGGGTAGTATGTTATACAGCAAAGGCTAACTGAGATATCCAAATAAACTCTACTATAAAATATAATGACTAAAAAACAATTTAAAAAGCAAGCCATATTATAGATAATACTATAAAAACAGCACTGATCCAAGGGGCAGGAGGAACTCTGTTTTGGTCTGGGATTATTATTAATGGCACAATTTAGATCAAGTAGTTAATCTCTTTTGGCTTTCTCTTTCTGCAAAGTGGTGTTGAGCAGGATGTTGTCCATGATTCTTTTCACTGACAGATATGAATGTTATGTGTAATTCTACCATATATTTCTAAGACTAGAAAATAGTTTTAATGTTAATTCTCTTTACAAAGTATTGTAAATTTTAACTCCCCCCACAAAACCATACAACCCAATACACATAAAGTTATCTTCCTTCCTTTACCCCACTGCTTTTGGCATTCCATAAAATTTATCTTTATATTCTCCTAATACTATATATTTTATATAAAGCTTTCTACATCCCCACTCACCCCCAGTTCTCACCACAGTTCTCCTTTATACACAAAAATTCTTCCAGGAAGAGGAAGAGTTCTTTGGAGCCATACAGTCTCCAATTCTCCTCTCACCGTCTCTTGAGCCTATTCAAATACCATCTTTTCCCCAACCATTCACTGAGACAAAGTGCTCTTTCAACAACAGTCTCCACTCTGCTGAACTCAATGGCCAAGTCTTACCCTCATCTTAATTGACCTATGAATAACATTTGACATAACTCATTTACCCTTTCTGTTTAGTTATAAGCAAATCAACCCAAGCAAAGAAACAGAACATTACCAGGACCTCAAAAACCTTCTTGGGTGTCTCTGATGATAAATCTCTCCTCAAAAGTGACTATCATCTTGACATCTGTGATGATGATTTCCTTTCCTTTTTGATGATTGTACCAACTAAATAGTGCATTTTAAAGGAACATAGCTTAGTTTTGCCACTTTTGCAACCTCATATGAATGGAATCACATAACATGCATCCTCTTCTGTCCACACCAATACTTATCATGAGGCTTTTAAACTTTATCCAATATCCTGGGTGTGTAAAGTCACCTCACTGTGTATTTAATATGCAATTGCTTTATGAGATTAAACATTCTTTTTAATACATTTAGAAGCCATATAGATTTCCTCTGTTGTGAAGTGGTTATTCAAGTCTTTCCCCATTTCTCTGTTGGGTTTATGTCTTTAAAATTGATTTGTGGGAGCTGGCAAGATGCCCAAATAGGAACAGCTCTGGTCTGCAGCTCCCAGTGAGACTAACACAGAAGGTGGGTGATTTCTGCATTTCCAACTGAGGTACCCAGTTCATCTCATTAGGACTAGTTAGACAGTGGGTGCAGCCCATGGAGGGTGAGCAGAAGCAGGGTGGGGCATTGCCTCACCCAGGAAGCACAAGGAGCCTGGGAACTCCCTCCCCTAGCCAAGGGAAGCCATGGGGGACTGTGCTATCTGGCCCAAATATTACGCTTTTCCCATGTTTTTGCAACCCGCAGACCAGGAGATTCCCTCGTGTGCCTACACCAACAGGGTCCTGGGTTTCAAGTACAAAACTAGGTGGCTATTTGGGCAGACACTGAGCTAGCTGCAGGAGTTTTTTTTTGTACCCCAGTGAGACAGAACTGTTCAATTCCCCACAAAGGGGGCTGAAGCCAGGGAGCCAAGTGGTCTTGGTCAGTGGGTCCCACTCCCACAGAGCCCGGCAAGCTAGGAACCACTGGCTTGAAATTCTCACTGCTGGCACAGCAGTCTGAAGTTGACCTGGAATGATCGAGCTTGGTGAGGGGAGGGGCATCCACCATTGCAGAGACTTGAGTAGGTGGTTTTTCCCCTCAGAGTGTTAAGGAAGCCGCCAGGAAGTTTGGACTGTGCAGAACTCACTGCAGCACAGCAAAGCGGCTGTGGCCAGACTGCCTCTCTGGATTCCTCCTCACTGGGCAGGGCATCTCTGAAAGAAAGGCAGCAGCCCCAGTCAGGGGCTTATAGATAAAACTCCCATCTCCCTGGGACAGAGCACCTGGGGAAAGGGGCAGCTATGGGCACAGCTTCAGCAGACTTAAATGTTCCTGCCTGCCGGCTCTGAAGACAGCAGCAGATCTCCTAGCACAGTGCTCGAGCTCTGCTATGGGACAGACTGCCTCCTCAAGTGGGTCCCTGACCCCCGTGCCTCCTGACTGGGAGACACCTCCCAGCAGGGGTCAACAGACACCTCATACAGGAGAGCTCTGGCTGGCATCAGACAGGTGCCCTTCTGGGACAAAGTTTCCCGAGGAAGGAGCAGGCAGCAATCTTTGCTGTTCCGCAGCCTCTGCTGGTGATGCCCAGGCAAACAGGATCTGGAGTGGACCTCTAGCAAACTCCAGCAGACCTGCAGAAGAGGGGCCTGACTATTAGAAGGAAAACTAACAGAAAGCAATAACATCAACATTAACCAAAAGGATGCTCACACAAAAACCCCATCCAAAGGCCATCAGCATTGAAGATCAAAGGTAGATAAATCCACAAAGATAAGGAAAAACCAGCACAAAAATGCTGAAAATTCCAAAAACCAGAATGCTTCTTCTCCTCCAAATGATCACAACTCCTCTCTGACAAGGGCACAAAACTGGACAGAGAATGAGTTTGATGAATTGAGAGAAGTAAGCTTCAGGAGGTGGGTAATAACAAACTCCTCTGAGACAAAGGGGCATGTTCTAACCCAATGCAAGGAAGCTAAGAACCTTGATAAAAGGTTACAGGAACTGCTAACTAGAATAACCAGTTTAGAGAAAAACATAAATGACCTGATGGAGTTAAAAAACACAGCATGAGAACTTTGTGAAGCATACACCAAGTATCAATAGCCAAATTGATCAAGTGGAAGAAAGGATATCAGAGATTGAAGATCAACTGAATGAAATAAAGCTTAAAGACAAAATCAGAGAAAAAAGAATGAAAAGGAACAAAGCTTCCAAGAAATATAAGACTATGTGAAAAGGCCAAACCTATGATTGATTGGTGTACCTGAAAGTGACAGGGAGAATGGGACCAAGTTGGAATACACACTTCAGGATATTATCCAGGAGAACTTCCCCAACCTGGCAAGACAGGCCAACATTCAGATTCAGGAAAAACAGAGACCACCACTAAGATATTCCTGGGGAAAAGCAATCACAAGACACAAGATCATCAGATTCTCCAAGGTTGAAACAAAGGAAAAAATGTTAAGGGCAGCCAAAGAGAAAGGTCAGATTACTTACAAAGGGAAGCCCATCAGACACACAGCAGATTTCTCTGCAGAAACCCTACAAGCCAGAAGAGGGTCAATATTCAACATTCTTAAAGAAAAGGATTTTCAACCCAGAATTTCAAATCTATCCAAACTAAGCTTCATAAGCAAGGGAGAAATAAAATCCTTTACAGACAAGCAAATGCTGAGGGAT